GTCCAGGATTTCACAAGTCTTTATATATGTACTATTGGTCTTGTCATATAAAATAACCCACATCAAACATCATTTATTTTTTTCTCAATGGCTGCATTTGTTATAACAAAAAAAATCATGATATTTGCCTGAATGCATGGCTGCTGCATGATGTCTGTTATGTAATCTCTGTTCTGCTSCTGCTGGGAGCAGGCAGTCCAATTTTCTTGCTCTGTTTAGTTTTTGGCTTTCTAGTTTGCCTAGTTTTATACTAGAGGAGAGAAGAGGAATATAATCTGACAAGTRAAAAAAATACCATGAGATTAATGGGTAACAATGTAAAAGAGAACCGTTAATAATTCCAGTTTTTCATTTTYAGRTTTGTTATTTTATATAACTGTCTTKTGTTTAGTCAGTGAACCATGCTTAGAGCTGTGTCTTTGGGCTAATWAGGATAAAATAGCTATAAATACACTAAAATTGTTGACTTTTTTTTCTGTCATCACAGCCAGAAGACATGATGACAGAAGCAGTGATTTTTTTTCCTCCTCATACGGGCGGCTGCCTTCATTAGACTAATGAGAGACATGGGGAGACAAAAACCTGTGGGAGGAAAAAAAAAGAAAAAAAATGTCTACAACTTTGTCAAATCTTTTTATAAGACATTTGTCTTTTTTATTGTATTTATTTTTGTAGAAATACCATCACTGCATGGCAGGACTACTTGCTCCATCATATGGCGTGATGGAAAGCAGCCGTGGTTCTGACAGTAAGTAATCCAAAGATGTYGTTAATGTGTGGATCTAGCTGGTAAGGTTTACACTACATTTTAGTAATAGTACAGTGTAGCATTAGTTTGGTACCACTTTACTGAGGGTGCTAGTTTTTTTTTGTGTTATGAGTCATGGTGGAAGAACTGATAATGCAAGCAGGAAAGAAGCAGTAATTTTTTTTACTGCAGAACTTCTGAATGATCACCAATAGCTCAAATATGACAAATCTATGCTTGTAGGAAGGATATTGATTGAATTATTTATGTTTTTTTGTTACATGTTAACTCAATATTGACTTGTCTTTGCTCAGGTTGAGAATCATTGTAACTCGATTTCATGTCATGGATCATAAAAATGATGAAGAGCAGTGACTGTTAGTTTGCTGTGTTTTATTTGTCTTTAGTTTTTGAACGATTGACACGATTAAAAGAAAAAGGCTTCTTTGTTTGCCTTTGCAGAASACCCTTTTTAAAACTCTGTTCTCTRCAATGAAGGATTTGATTAGAGCTTTTAAAATTGTTTTAAAAGTGTCTGCTTTAGCTTTTATCGTGCTTCGGAGCAGCTCTGTAAAGGAGGGTATTTATTTATTTTTTGTATTATACATAGACAAGCTTTTAGGGATTTAGATAATACTTTCTGCTTGAGTGCACCAGGATAGAAGTCAGACAATATAAAGCAGTTGTGGGTTGAAACACTCCTGCCTGAAGCAGCTCTGTGGCTTTGTGATGAAATAAATTAAACCTGCTTTTAACAGCTCTGTTAGTTATCCCGCTGCTGGCTAACAACTCTTTGGTGTTAAAGCTTCATGTTAACTTTACAAATCTTAGG